CTCGTAATGGCACACATTGTCCCTCAATCCTTCAATCATTCTCTTCAAGCAATAAGCTTTTTATGCTCTCCACCACTTTGAACCATTGCAACTTCAAGGCGAAATCAAATCGAATATTGTTTAACAACTACACATATCTACACATAGAGAAAAAGAAAAAAACAACCAGAATTATCTGAGGATAATTTTTAATACCTACATACATCATGAAAAAATAATGTTGTGTTTTATTATACAGTGTAATTCACTTCACAGAACTTTACGAGGCTTGCGCCTAATGTACGCACCCAAATATACAAAAGTCACAAAACACTAGATAAAAAAAATACACATTTAATTATTTAACTTTTGGAAACCCATGACAGTAGTTGTTAAACTAATTACTGTTTCACAATCTAAACAATTATCATTTGTTCTATCAAGAGACGGCAAGAATATGATTCTAGTTTGTCTAGACTACACAAAAAATTAAACAAAAAATGTTTCTAAATGGTCGTATCTAGATTAGTATTTTAAAGCTTTAAGCTTCTAGTTTTGAGACTTTTTGGCAAAAATTTTTCTGTGCTACGGTTATCACGTCATCCTAAGTAATAGCGCAAGAAAAAAAAATTCAAAATTTTTTTGTTATTGCTTTTGGTCCACGCACGTGGAATTTTTTTTAGTTAAGTTAATCCATAGGCCGCATAGCCATTCATTCATCTTTAATATGCTTTTTTCACATTCTCTTTACGTCACTTTGTCGCTGAGATATCTGACTTTAAATTTAAAAAAATCCTTTTGTCTTTGATCATCGATATCTCAGCAACCAATGACCACACAGAGAATATAAAGGTAGTGTCAAAAACTGGAATAAATAATGTCTTATAAAATCCTTTTAAGATTTTTTGGAAAATATTTTTTTTTTCACCCTCAACATTGATTTAAAGAAGAGCGAAAAACGTAACTTTTTTATGCTTTAGTAAATCTATCGCATATTTACTAATATTGATGAAGAGACTAATGTTTTTAGGTGTTTTTACAACTTAATGTACTCCCCATAGCCTTGTAAATTTTTAAATCGATCCATCAAACCGTTTTCTCGGAATTAAAGGAACAATTGTACATTTTCACCTTTTTTTACAATTTTGAATGTTATTTGCTAAAACTAAAAAAAAAT